TGGTCGAGGCCATTTAGTATCTTTGATTTATCCGATGGTGGACACGATGCTAGCAGCATTGACATTGAAGTTGTATTTTGATAATCTCGGTGCCTCCCTGGTCCCGAGTGGCCTGTCGAAACCGTTCTTATTCATGAGTCCTCGACTATTGTGGCCTCGATCATTCCTTTTTTCACTTATCGCAGGGTTGTGTCGGGACTTATTACCCCTTCGATCTCCGTTATATGTTTGATACTGATCTCTTTTTGACCTTGGTTCATGATCGATGGCTCTTATGGGTCTGTCTCTAAGATTTGACAGGATAGAAGGATCCGGAAGGGGCCTTGAGTTGATCATATTCGACCCTGATTTTTGATTGGTACCTGTTTTGGACGTCGGTCCAAGTTACCGCCGTGCATTCTATCAAATTTTGTTTCAACTGCTGCAAAGCTATTGAGCTTTGGGGGTTAAGTCCTTACGTGAATGCTTGAACGGCCTAGTTGTCCGCAACTGGAGGCAGAGCCATTTGTTCCATTTGAAACCTTAACACAAACTCCCTCAGCATCTCGTTATCTCTTTGCTTTACTTTGAAAAGCTCTGACTTTCTCAACCTTGATGGCCCCGGCGTGCGCCTTTACAAAGGCGTCTTCTAGCATAGCAAACGAATAATAGAATTAAGGGGTAAGTTGTGATACCATATCATGTAGGAGGTCACATGTTTATTTGGATTATTAGTTCCATTATACTTTGAAATTTCGGGCATACAGAACTTCTTTGGGATTGGTTTCGAAGCTGCACTCGGAGGAAAAGGCTTTTGGACAAATTTATTGGAATCCAGGATTTTCAATATCAGGGGTGCTCCTCGAGCCTCTTTATTATTTCTGGGCTAGCCCCGACTTCAACTTCACTCTGCCTTTACGAGGTTCGTTCACTTCTCCAGGTGTTCTCCCGGGATGGTTCGGGTTCAACTCTGCTGGGAGCATGGCTTTGGTTTTGTAGCTGGGCTATTTCCATATGTTGAGCTTGTAACACTTCGAAAATCACCCGCAAATGGATCCCATCTCCTTCACCATCATGCGTTCCCCTGGCTACCGACCTGACTCCTCCAATAACGTTGTTTTCTGGGTCGGTGGGTAAGTTAGCATCAATCGCCACATGTTAGTTGGCATCAACTGGGTTTGCGACCGGGGATCCGTTGGGGTCAGCAAGGGGAACCTCGTTACTGGGCACTATATTTCGACATGAAATTACATGCTCAAAGAACAAGTGTAAAATCGAGTGTGTTATGGAAATTCGTATCAAATTGCCGCTATTATCATTATCCCTACGGTGGGCGCCAAATTGTTTACCTTTAAAAATGGATAACAATTGAATTTTTATGTGGTTTTAAGGATATGCGGATCAATTCAATACAAATGATTAATGACGTTCGATTAAACAGATAAAAGATATAATAAATTGCCAAACCAATAGTGAGAGTGCTCCCGGATTCAGTAATGGCTTAATGAAGTGCCTGCCTTTGATCCGGGGCTCACAATAATGGAGAACTGAGGAACAAAAATAAGAACAGAGAAAATAATAGTATATTGCCTTTATATGCGTGTTACAACGTAGTCAATGAACAATTAGTTTCCCCTTTATATAGTGGGGGAGTTTTACCCTAAGTATAATTTTAAAAAAGGATAAAATCTTTCTTCATGTTAATCACTCATTCATTGCTGATACGGGCCGAGATTTATGCCATGATATCAGATTGGGCACGGATATTAATACCCTTCGTTAGTCGTGTGCGGTCGTTCGATGATGTTCTTCGAAGTATCATGGCTCGATTCGGTCCCGGAGTACGTAGTTCCAATGCCCCCAAGGGCAGGTGTCTTGCTCGAACCCCAATACGAGAGGCTCCCCGCCCAAATTATGATTCTGATTCCTTACGATTATGTTCCTGCTCCGTTTGTCTTACCGGGAAATCGAGAAATTCAACGGTCTTGATTTTACCCATTTACAACAACAACAACAACATACCCAATATTATCCTATATCGTGGGGTTTGGGGAGGGTAGTGTGTACGCAGACCTTACCCCTACCTTGTGAGGATAGAGAGGTTGTTTCCAATAGACCCTCGGTTCAGGAAGGCATAGGCAGCACATTAATGAAAATATAGTCAAGAAGGGACAATTCCAAAAGGCCATATAAAAGCATAATAAAAATAAAAAGACAGTAAGGTGATCAACAATGAAAGAAAACAATGATTAGGCATAAAAACCTAGACTAACTACTCCACTATCATAATCCTTGACCTGCATACCTTCCTATCAAGGGTCATGTCTTTGGTCAGCTGAAGTTGTGCCATATCTTGCCTAATCACATCTCCCTACCTTTTCTTTGGCCTACCTCTACCTCTCCGTAGGCCCTCCAATGTCAACCTCTCACACCTCCTCACCGGGGCTTCTGTGCTCATCCTCCTCCTCACATGACCAAACCACGTAAGCCGCGCTTCCCGCATCTTGTCCTCAATAAGGGCCACACCCACCTTGCTGCGAATAACTTCATTTCTGACCTTATCTAACCCGGTGTGCCCGCACATCCATCTCAACATCCTCATCTCTGCTACCTTCATCTTCTGGACATGAGCGATCTTGACTGGCGAACACTCAGCCCCATACAACATCGTTGGTCTGACCAACACTATGTAGAACTTACCCTTAAGTTTCGGTGGCACCTTCTTGTTGCTCAACACCTAAAGCGAGTCTCCATTTCATCAATCTCGCCCCGATACGACGTGTGACATCTTCATCAATCTCCCCATCCCCCTAAATAATAGACCTAAGGTACTTAAAACTCCCTCTCCTAGGGATGACCTGCGAGTCCAGCCTCACCTCTCTTTCCCATCCTTGAGTCTCGCCACTGAATTTACACTCCAAGTATTCTGTCTTGGTCTTACTCAACTTGAAACCTTTAGATTCCAGGGTCTACCTCCATACCTCTAATTTCTCATTCACACCATCTCGCATCTCGTCAATCAATACAATATCATCTGCATATAGCATGCACCATAACACCTCCCCTTGGATGTGGCACGTCAATACATCCATCACCAGAGCAAACCAAAAAGGGCTGAGTGCCGACCCTTGATGCAACCCCATCATATCCGGAAAATGGTCCGAGTCCCTACCCATCATCATCACTCGGGTATTTACTTTATCATACATGTCCTTAATCAACCTAACGTAGGGAACTGGTACACCTCTAGCCTCCAAATATCTCCACAAAACCACACTCAAAACTTTATCGTATGCTTTTCTAAGTCGATGAACACCATATGCAAGTCCTTCTTTCTCTCCCTATACTGCTCCATCAATCTCCTAGCAAGGTGGATGGCTTCTGTAGTCGAACGCCCCAGCATAAACCCAAACTGGTTCTCGAAAATAGACACACTCCTCCTCACCCTTAGCTTTACCGTATACAACATTGAAGATAATGTTGCAATAAGTGGGACACATACTCATGCTGGTCTAGGAGGTTACTTGCAATACATGACTTATACTGTAACTTCACGTGGTTTTGTTCCTCAGTCATTTGAGGCCATTGTGACTTCTATTGAACCGAGCATTGTCCAGGCTCATGGAAATTTAAAGCCTGGTTCCATCTTTATGAAAAAGGTGAGAAATCGGTCATTATTTCATGCAAAAGAAGATTTTATAATAAATTTGGGTCTGTATTTCACTAATTCCCCCATGCTTTTAAAAGTTTCAACCTTTCTGTCACGACCCAAAATCCCACCACAAGCGTCGTGACGGCACTTAGTCTCTAAGACTAGGTAAGCTGATTTTTTTTAGTCTATTATACTACTGGGCAGTCTGTCCAGTAGCTAATTTATTAATAATAAAAGAGAAAAAAAAACACAAAGGAAGAGTACAAGTAGGGGGAAGGGGGGCAAAAGCTACAGTAGTGATCTCCAAACACATACTGAGCTAGACCTTACCTTACATTTCCTATTGAGGCATGAACAACCTCATCTCTTAGCAAGCATGTAAAAAATAAGAACTCGAAAGAAGTAAGTACTCTATGATCATCATAGAGTTTATAACACACTCCATGATGATATTACATATGATAATGCTTAAAAAATGATAAAATAAAACAAGGTAGAAATTGGATTCTTGCCCCTCATTCATGATACTTGTGAGTTCTTCAAATTGTAGCTCCTTAAAATTCTCTTCAGCTATCTTCAATACATCTTCAAAATTCTTCATTTCATCTTCGATCGATTGGACTTTGTAAATGTGGTCGGGGCTGCCCCTTTTCGCTTTGCATCTCTTATTGGGAGTATCCTAAGTGTTACTCTTTCATTCACTTTACCATCCCAACTATTCTCCCTTGTGTGTGTCTTGTTCTTTTTTTCACTATGCGTAGGAGATAAATCTCCACATCTAGCCACCTCAGCTCGGCAATAATCAAGCAAATCTTCTTCCTCGCCTTCTTCCCAAATTTCAACACGCAAGTTGTTCTCTAGTTGTTGAATAGCACATTTCTGTGCAACCATATCTAATGGTTCATGCCTCTTCACAACCATGGCATTAGGTTTTATTATGGAATCTTCCAATTGAGCATTTTTGTTCTTACCCGATTTTTTCTGCCCATTTTCAGCCATCTTTGAGGTCACCTGGAATTGAACATTATTAATAATTCGATCTTCTGCACTATGTCTTAGTTGCAATCGTCCAGTTACTATTTTTTGTGCTGGATGAATTGCTTGTTGATCTCCCAGCATTTTATTACCACATGGAGACGTTCTGGGAGCAAAAATATGTGCATTAATGGTCGTTGAGTTTATGAAAACTTCCTCCTCATCCACAAGTGCAGCGAACATATTTGGTCCAGTAGCAGCAGACATTGCACTCATCTGCTGCTTTTTATTCTTCAGTGTTGGCATTGTTCCTTGCCTCCCATCAGATCTCACTACTTCTTTCCAATCATCCCCAAATGTGTTCTTTATATTTCCATCACCCTTAGTTAATTTTCCACCGTGTGCAAGCTCAGCTACAGTCGTGACACTAGCTTGCAATGAAGCTGTTTGCACACCATCATCAAAGTTACTTGGTGTATTTTATGTGCCCCTGTTTCAAAAGTTGTTGCTGCCTCCTTGTTACCCGCACCTGTTCCTGAAATTCAGCCACAGAATTTACTATGTTTGGTGCACCACAAAATGCAGCAGAATATGTCAAAACAACAGTAACATCCTGCGCAATGCCTACTGAAAATTAATACTGTTTACCTTCTAAATTCACTACCTTATACCCTATTTTAGTTGCATCCTCTAATTCTAAAACACCTACATGTTCTTTCCCCACAACATCCACTGTATTAGCTTTCACACCTATCGTTGCTTGATCAATTGCCTTTCCCACTGCCTTGTAAATCGTTGCCAAAGCTCTTATAGCAGGGATATCACCTGGAAGTTTATTTTTTATAACTGCTGGAGCTGCACCAGTTGTGCTTGACAACACCTGCCCAGCCTTATCAAATTGTTGCCCTGGACCTGGCCCCTTAACAACCCCAGCTGGAACATGAAACAAAGCAGCTGCATCTTTCAGTTCCTGCCCCTCAAATTGTTTACCACTTGTAGATGCTTGTTGCATTGTAGTCTGCCCAATTGACGCAAATTGTCCAAGCTCCTTACTATCCTGCACAACAACATTAGTAACCAATGGCACAGTGTCAGTCACAGTATGAGTAGATGCACTCATAGCCAGAGTTCGATCAAATGTAAAATTCAAGGGAACAATCGTTTCCAGATTTGACACTGCAGTAGCTAAGTGTTGTCCATGTATTGAATGAATAGTTGGAAAAAGTAAACACTTCTCAACAACAACATTGTTATGCAACCTTGCAAGAACTGTAGAAGCAGGGACATCAAAATGTGGCTTAGATTGATCCTTCACAGCAAGAATTGCAGCAATTTTAGGTTGCTCAAAAATATGCCCAGCATTTAAACCTGGAGCAGCCATTGAAACAATATTAGAAGTTTTATCAACCACCATTTCCTGCAATTTTTGTCCTGCAGTTGCACCATATATTCGTCGTCTTTCATTGATAATTTGTCGCAAATCCCCTTGAAACTTATGCACAACGACTTGATCCTCATATTCCTCAGTTGCCTCATTCAGTTCACTATCATGATTCCTTGTCAAAATTAAGCGACACATGCTTTTATCATGCCCTTGATGTTTGCAACATGTTCAGTACAGAGGCATGTTATCATATACAATCTGCTGAACTATTTCAACTATATTTCTAGTGCAGTTATTCAAGAATTGCAATTTTATTTACTTTTGATGTTTGGCTAGTAAATCTAGGATAACTCTTACCCTAGCTGTACATGGTCGTGTCTTTGCTTGTGTCGCCTTATCGATTGCAATTGGTTTTCCTGCATCTTCTGCTATGGACATTAGAGCTCTTCTTGCGAAGAGGTCTGGTGATAAATTAGGCAACGTAATCCACACTGCAGCCATTGACGTCTCCTCTTTAGGATTGAAGTCAAGTGTCCATGGAAAATTTCTAAGTTGATGTTCTTCCCCATTTAATGGTAGATAGTTTACTGATCTCGATAAAGCTATAACAAAATCATCATATTAATCAAAAAAAACCAAAAGTTGTTGACGAGCCAGTAAACCTATCAAATAGTTGCCCTTTATGCCAAAGTGCTTAGGGAGTAAATTTTTCCATATCTTCAAATCTGGTGCAGCTTGATTAACTTTGATGACAATGGCCTGGTGTTATTCTTCTGTCCTTGCAAATTCTTCTCGTTCCTCCATAGAAAACTTTAGAGTTGGAGTTCCACGTATAAGCTCGATAGGATTTAGCTTCGTTGTTGTTAGATTTTGGACTGACATGTTTGTCGTTAACCTTGCGGCATATGAAGAGATGGGATTTGGAGTAGAATTAGTATTTCCCACATCTAAAGGATTGGGAGAAAGCTACTCATCCATGGCAGCCTTGAAATTGCTCAAATCGTCATACTTAGAACTCATTATACCGGCAATGAAATCGCCCGATTTGTGCAGGAGAGATAGCTCTTGATGTGGAAAACAAACCCCATGGCTTCGAATTGCAAAATCTGAACAAGAATCGTGCTGGAAAATTCCAGTAGTTTTATTGCGATTTCGAGCTACAGTAATCGCATCACCAAAAAAGAGATCTGAAGCATTTGGGTTTGAGTTTAATGGACCGTCTAGCTGGGGTTTGTACGCCTTTGGATTTCGCATCTTTTGGGACTGGTCCGGTGGATTTTCACCACCGGATGACGGCACAATGGCCATTACCGTGTTGTTCGGTTACTGTTCATCTCGGGGTTTAAGGTTTTTCCTATCAGGTTTGGTAAGCTGATTCCAATTACATTTCAAGCCATTTTTTTCTTTTGAATATGAATTAAATAGGTAATCAAAACCAACCACGGAAACAAATATGAAAACCTCCCTAGACTAGTAATACTGAGTCACGAACTCTAACTGAATACATAGAATGATCATGAGGATCGAAAATACAATACTGTTCGAAAAAGAAATTAACAGTACAATAGAAATAGAAGGACTCCAAAGGACTGTGATGATCAAGCAGCTCTACCTTAAGTCCTTGAAATCACCCTTTAACTTCGTCCGAGTCCGATATCTCCAATACCTGGCTCTGCACAAAAATGTGCAGAAGTGTAGTATAAGTACACCACGGTCGGTACCCAGTAAGTATCAAGACTAACCTCAGTGGAGTAGTGATGAGGTACAGTCAAGACACTCACTAGTCTAATAACCTATGCAATATAGTATACAAAATAATAGAAAATAAATAACAATAAGGGCAACACAAATCAACTAGTGATATGCACAGCAGGGCAACAAGAACACCATTAATATCTTTCTACAAATAATAAATACAAGTACACCCAATTAAATCAAGTCCTTCAAATAAATATCTTTCACATATAATTCTATCAATAAATCTCTTTCAAATATAATTTCCTCAAATAAATATCCTTCAACTATAATTCTTTCAATAAATCTCTTTCAAATATAATTTCTTCAAATAAATATCCTTCAAATATAATCATTTCAAATAATACTTTTTGAATAAAAATCTTTCCAAATAAATATTTTGAATATAATTCTTTCAATTAAAAGTCACCATGTGATACCCCATTTCATAATCATAAAAATACGAGTCTCAACCCATTTTCATATTATTTGTAAATACGGGTCTCAGCCCACTTTCATATTTCCACAGCATTTCGTGCCCATAATTAAATCATCATATTTTCCCGGTACCTCGTGCTCACTTTTCATATCACAGTTGCATGGACAGTTCACGTGCCAATAATAAAACCATCATATTTTTCCCGGCACCTCGTTCCCACGTTTCATATCCGCTGTAGCGTGCTACCCGATCCCATATAACATTACCCGTCCGGCAATAGTCACAGGCTCACAATTTCAACATAAATCAGGCTATTATCAAGTTTACCTAAACAACAAGATAAGTTGCACAAGATATAAAAATAAACACAAGGAATACCCCAACATCACATGAAAATTACCAACACAATAACTTCACATCATCACATATAATCCCTGACAATAGCCACCCTTATCTCTCCTATAGCCACCCTTATTACTTCTATAATAGCCTCCCTTATCCCTCCGCCCTGACAATATCAATAGCTACCCTTATCGCTCCTATAGCCACCATTATCTCTCATATATCTACCCTTATCACTTCTATAGCCACCCTTATCGCTTCGCCCAGATAATATCCCAACACACATAACAACAGTGAAATGTCACCCTTATACCCACATAATATCAACAGTGAAATGCCACTCTTATATCCTCAAAATAATAACTCAAATAACACAACAATTTACATGGAATATTATCACGGCAACATAACAAAATCAATTCATATCACAATTTGCCCAATGGCCACAACCAATTCCAAAGATATAACAAAATCAATTAATTTCACAACAAATAGCCCAAAACTCCACACAATGTGTATAACACCTCTAAATAACAACAGAGATGGAAAATACTCAGTATAGGGCAACACCTTCATTAATCCAAATTCTTGATAATTATATAATGCCTCGGTTTAAACTTATTTCGTTAATTATTTGCAAATGAAAAATTCATAATATAATTATTACCAGAAAATATCAAATCACCAAACTCACGGAATTTTCATAAATATTCAAGTAACAACCACATCAAATTGTCATATAATTTTTTTTCCAACAAACAAGGATTGATGCATGGCAAATAGATGATTTAATAAATGCCAATAATTATCCAATTTACTACACAATAATGCCTAAGACTTTAACCCAATAAAATTTGTACATATAAGCCCGAGTACGTACTCGTCACCTCGCGTACACTGTTTTTCACATTTCACAAATGGCACATAAGACTCGATGCCTAAGGGGTAATTTCCCCACTCAAGGTTAGGCAAGATACTTACCTTTTTGAAATTATGCCGATATTCTAAAATCGCCTTCTTACTTGAATTGACCTCCGTACAACTCAAATCTATCCAAATTAATTGTACAACTTTATTAAAATTCATCGAAAATAATTCCGGATAATAAAATGCCGACTTAAAAATTTATTCTCAAAAGTCAACAAAGGTCAATGCGGGGCTCGCCTCTCGGAACCCGACATAATTTTCACGAAATCCGAACACCCATTCCGATACGAGTTCAACCATACCATTTTATCAAATTCCAACAAGAAATTGTCCTCCAAATCTGGAATTTTTATTTTTGGAAGATTTTTCAAAAAATCTTGATTTCTTCCTTTTAAATCTGAATTAAACGATTAATATAACCATAGATTCATGAAATATAATCACTTTAGGATATAGAACACTTACCCCAGTCGAAATCGTGAAGAAATCCTCAAAATCGCCCAAAAACCGAGCTCCAAAAATTCCAATCGAAAATGAAGAAATGACAGATTTTCAATCCTTAAGTTTCTGCCGAGGTTCGCATTTGCGAACAAATGGTTCGCATTTGCGAATGAACAATACCTCCCATGAACATTATTTTCACAATTTCCATAAATGGTTTGCAATTGCGAATGAACAGTATTTTCGCAATTGGTATAAATGGCTTGCAATTGAGAATGAACAGTATTTTTTGCAATTTCCATAAATCGTTCGCAATTGCAAATGAATAGTACCTCACCAGAAACCAGCAAACTCAAACTTCTCTGAAATGATCCGAAACCACCGTGAAATTCATCAGGAACCTCCCGCACACAAACCATATATGAATTTCAATCATAAAACATGCTACGGACCTACTCGCGCACTCAAAACACTGAAAGGAGGTCGTCTTGACCTGATATTGACCATTTTCAAACTCCTAAATTTCTTAATTTGACTAGTCTCTCAACCAATGATCCAAAAATACACCCAAGCCCCTCGGGACCCGTCAAATCATACCAACAAATCCTAAAACATCATACGAACTTAGTCAAAACTTCAAATTACATCAAACAATGCTAGAACCACGAATCATACCCCAATTCAAGCTTAATGAACCTAAGAAATTTCAACTTCTACATTAAATGCCGAAACCTATCAAATCATGTCCGATTGCCCTTGAATTTTGCACACAAGTCATAAATGACATAACGGACATATAAAAATTTTCAGAACTGGATTCCGTCCCCGATATCAAAAAGTCAACTCCCCGGTCAAACTTCTCAAAAATTTAATTTTTGCGATTTCAAGCCAAATTCCACTACGGACTTCCAAATAATTTTTCGGACACGCTCCTAAGTCCAAAATCACCATACGGAGCTATCGAAATCATCAAAACTCCATTCCGGGGTCATTTACACATAAGTTGACATCCGATCACTATTTTAACTTAAGCTTTAAATCTTGGAACTAAGTGTTCCAATTCATTCAAAAATCTCACCAGGCTCGAACCAATCACCCTCGCGAGTCACATAACAACCGTAAAGCATAAATCGAGCAGTAAGTGTGAAAACATGATTGTAGTACTCAAAACGAACGACCGGGTCATTATACTTTCAAATGCTACTTTTAAAAAATATTTTGAATTATTAAGACTATTATTTACTGTAGTTTCTTAATATGTAAAGTTCATTTAACGAAACTTGAAGATTTTGTGATCGAATCCATATTGAAAGTTAAGTAGTTCGAACTATGAACCTAGTACTTCTAACCCCGCTACATAAAATGGAATACTAAGGCCTCGTTTGTTTGCACTTAATGGATGTCTGAATCTTTATTATTCAGATCTTAATCATTAAGTATTTTTTTACTTCACAACCACTTAATGGGTATGTATGATTAAGATTTATAATAGATACTTAATTTCATTAAGATACTATCATCCACATTCATTATTAACTGCCGCCATCGCCAATCATTATCAACTACCACCATGCCACCCATCAC